AAGCCACTAGGTTGGTCAGGCAGGACTTGCGCTTGGTGAATATTAAGGCACAGTAATGTAATTGTTATGTTAAATGGAACTAGGAGGTAAGTTGGTTATCAGCTTTCAAAATTCTTAACATATTGCTTTGGAAAGATTAAGTACTGGTGAAGAATTGAAGGATAGTTGACAGCTGAATTTCATAAACTTGCCAAACAGTGCAAATGAGAAATCGACCTTTGTTAGGAAACCTTAATACATTGCTTACATGAATTCCCTTGCAAGTTCTACCACACAGGAGCGAAATGCTATCAAGGAGATAAGTGCAAATTTTCTCATGCTCCCCTGACTGCAGAAACAAAAGAGCTGTTGGATAAGGTGAGCAGCACTTGGTCTGTAAACGCAAGGTTTGTTGCTTGAAAGAATAGGGGGGAGGTTGCTAGAAATTTCCATGGGATTCTCGGGGAATGTGATGCTAAACAGTAACGATGTTAAGCTTCCCTGTTGCTTTTTAGCACAGTAAGTCTGTGACCAGGTTCAATACCAGGAATTCCCCTTGCCATCAGTTATTCAGTTATTTTTTAGCTATATCACTCATTTATTTTCACAACTCAAGTTTCTGCTCTTGAACTTTTCTTTTGCATCCTTTTCTGTGGAAATTTTCATGTACTCTGTAACAAGAAGCGTGGCTTTTATGTTGTTTTCCTTTAGCTGCCTAGAAATTAGATACCATCTGACTGACTTCTGCACTCGGGGTGGAGAAAGGAATGAGGTGCCTCCTCTGAATGATTCATGAAATCTTGACCTTTGTGTTAACTTGGATATTTGTCTCTCTGCAGTTACTGTACAACAGGCCTTAACAGAAAAGTGGCCTGAATTTAATTAAGTTAATGAATCTTAGAATAAGTCCTTCAGTTTCTCTTACTTAAAATTACTGTCTGAAGGAAATGGACTTGTGTGAAATTGTCCCTTCCTGATTACAGAAATAGTTTGCTTCCTGGCTGTGAATCTGTGTCCTGCAGAACAAGTAATACAGAGTTATAATTCATCTGAGTTTGATGTCAATATATAGTAGTATTTTAGCAGGTGATTATATGTAAGCGGAAAGTGCAAGACTAAATTGAATTGCGTGTACTGCGAAATTAAGTGTTTGTTACGTTGCTTTGTTCTAGGTTTTGAATACTGAGGAGGAACCACAAAACGAAGATGAGAAAGAACTGGAGGAACTCAGAAAGCGTGGCATTGTTCCTCTCCCTAAGCCACCACCAGGTGTTGGGCTTCTGCCAACCCCGCCAGAGCAATATCCGTTTTCCGAGTCTGATATAGAAAATTATCAAGATCCTTCAGGAGAATACAAGAAAATCCCGTCTCTCTTTGAAATAGTTGTGAAGCCTACTGTGGATTTAGCACACAAAATTGGAAAAAAGTAGGTTTTAGAACTGTGCGTAGAACTCTCCTTAAAACATGGCTGCATAAATATTTAAACAAATATTTTTGTTTGTCAGAAGTATATACTTCCGAGTATATTGCTAAGTTAATGATCTGTCAAATATTGGCTGTCATAATTATTTACTTATTTAATGCTTTCCATAGAAGAGAACTTACTGAGCCTTGACCTTCCAGAAAGCCACTCCATTGGCTTTTGTTTTGGCTCTGTGCCTGCCTTGCCTATCTCCATTTGCAGGTTGAGCAAAGTTCATTCCTTCTGAATTCTTTTTATAGTTAGCTTTTTCTTGACCGAAGCCAGACAGTCCTGATGGAGATGGTTGGCCTTGGGATGTTTAAAACTCTTAGTGGCAGCAAATGTCCAGTTCTGCATGTGCTAATACTGGAAAAAATGTTCTACTTCCAGACAAGCTCTGCCATGTGTAACGTACATAGTTATTCTCTTTGAAAATTATTTTGCTTCTTTCAGATTTTTATCCAACTTAAGATCAAATAAGTACGAACAGACATCTGTAAGAGTGAGGAGGGGGGAGGAGGTAGCCAACAGGCTGTTGATCTTTGTAGGTGCGAAATTTGAGTCGCCAATTTTTTTTCGCCTACAGGCCACCGACCTTCTATAACAGCGCATCACCACCAAGACCACCGTTTCAGGGAAATGACCCCCATTCTCAGCATATGTATAATCCAGGTTCAAGTCCAGGGCCGGGACCCGGCATGTCACAAGGACATAACGGGCCGCCGATGCACCCAGGTTCTCCTGGACATCATCCATGCGCGGGGCCTCAGGGCCCAGGGATGCCGCAGAGTCCTCCTATGCAGGGTGTTCCGCCAGGCTTTCTGGGACCGCAGAACCAGACTGGTATGCCTATGCAAGGACAGCAAGGTGGGCCACCTCTCACGCCGCCAGGTCTCGGTGGATCTTACAATGCCCCAGGAGTTCAAGGACATATGGTGAATATGCCGAGAGAGAATCATTGTCCTCCGGGGCCACAATACCAGCAGATGCCTGGTGAACGGCAGCCGAATATGAATTACGAGCCTATTCAGAACCCAGCTGATTTCTATGACAATTACTATTCTCATCAAGCCGTTCATAACTTCCAGCCAGCTAATAACTCTGGTGGTAAGGACATTTCAAAATCCTCGTTCCTTGATATGGTGCTTCGCAGTTGCGCGGCATTAAAGCATCACGGCTCCAAAGCGGAGCAGCTGCAAGAAGTTTGGATAGAAAGCCAAACCTCCTGGAACGTCTGCAGTGTATAGGCTCTTTTGTCTGATGCTTTCCAGTCATGTAATATTAGTCACATTAGTTTTGCTTGATTGTGTTTTGTGTTTTATGTTTTATCTCCTCTGCTGTAAAAGCTTGTATAGATTAGCTGCTAACTGGTTTTTTTTATATTGCAGATGGAACATGGCATGGAGAATTTACAGATCACCAGGCTCACCTCATGGCTCAAGAGTCGCATCAAGGTGGAAGCGAGTCGGACTGCATGAGTAGCCATATGGGCCATAAACCAGCCATTAACGTACCGGATTTTCTTCCAGCAATGCAGAAAGCCCTTTATGTGAGACTTAGTCAAAAGCATCAAAGAGACGGAGACTCTGTCAGCAGCCAGGGTCAGAGGGCAATGAGCAAAGATGAAGGTAAAGATAATTTTGTTACTGTTCTAAACATACTTATTGACCATGTATTAGCCTGGAACAAATGTGTTGACTTGGCTTTTCATCACGTTACCATTCACAGTTGTTGTGAACCTGCAAGTACCAACTCAAATAATATTTTCAGCTGAATATACTTGCTTTCCTTCCCAGCTTGTTCCAGGATTTTAGCATACGCTTAGTTGCTGCATTCCAGTTCCAAGTAGAAAGATCTGTGGGTAATTTTTGGATATAGTTTGTACTTTTAAAAGGTTCTGTTAACTCAGTTACTTCTTAAAATCCCTGGTTGAAACAGAAAGGTTGTTATTTCTAACTGCCAGTACAAGTGCATCTTTGGTTCTGTTTATTCAGTTGTGCCTCTTGATCGTTTCTGCATATTCTGTTTCTCTAGAGGAGTATTTTTTTTCCTCTGTGATAACCGAAATTTGCAGTGTTCAGTCTGCGTGTCTCTTCTGTCACCTGGACAATGGAGAGCAGTGAGCCTGCAGATCAGCTTCAGCCCCGCAGAGCACGTTTGTCCCTTGGCTTGCTCCCTGCCGCACCCTTTTCTGAGGCTGCTAGGTTCTGTGACCAGAAATGCATCTTCTGTCTGACCAAAAGGCAGTTGCTGTATCAAATGATTTCGAGGACATTGCCAATATAATTCTGATCAGATGATGAGAGAAAGCTGGAAATGCTTCAGGGTACATACAAAACCAGAGTGACCTCTGCAGACTTCTCACCAGAGCTTTGGAGTGACTGGTCCTCCCGTCTAGAGGGCTTTCGGAAAGCAGTGTAACGGAAGAATATTCCTATTAGCTGCCTCCGACAGCACGCCACTCCCTGTCGTTGAATACTTGTGTGGTACAAGAAGCGTTGAGGAAACATGCGTTATTGTGCATTAGACAGTGATGGTGGTGGGTTTCGCCTTCATTTCTCGTTTTATTGAGCCAGAGTAGACCACTAGTCTCCTTCAGCGAGTAGGCAAGTTTAGGATGTGGACCTGAGCACGCAGCTGTGTTGATAAGGCTTGCCAGTAAATTGCAGAAGGTAGTTGAGAATTTATCCTTTAAAATGAGGTATTCGTATTTCTTCCCTTCCTGAATCTTGACCTCTCCCCAAAACCTTGTGATTTGGATAGTGATAAGGCAGCAAATTCCACATTTGTAATTTATCTGTTTTTAAGACTACTGTAAGGTGCCACTTTACTTTTTGTTCTACCATCCCACAATGAAGGTCCCTTTCATCAAGACTGAGATTTTAATTTTTTTTTTTACTAGTACTGGTAGAAATAATTGTTTGAAAGCAGGTTATTTTCCCAGACTCATATCGACAGAGATATGTAGGCAGAATGCAGCAGAGTTTGGGAGTATCTCAACTAGCTACAGTTTCTTTGTGTCAGTTCTTCATTCAAATTGATTTTTATCATTTTAGATTGCAGTTGTTATAGTACAGGGAGTGATGGTGTAGTATCAGGTCTTTTCAGTTTGATTTTACTGAGAAGTTACCTTTTATTGTGAATAAATGTGTTGTATTCCCTGGTGATCATTTGCTTGAATAATCTTTTTTTTTTTTTAAGATGACAATGTCAACTGGTATTCCAGTAGTGAAGAGGAAGAGGGGAGCAGTGTTAAATCAATACTAAAAACCTTAAAGAAACAAAGCGAAAATTTTAGGAATCGGCAACAACATTCCACGGAGCAGCACATGCTTGGTATGCCTACTGATCCGAGGCTGGCAAAAGAAAAAGGCGCAGGGCCTCAGGCTGCTGACCCGAGACTGCGGGCCTCTCCAAGGTCCAACCCCAGAAAGCCTTCCGAATCCGCGTCCCTGGACCCACGGCTTGTACGAGATCCCAGGATGCACAAGGTCAGCGAGGGCGGTCACGCCAGCTCCTCCCTTGGGGGAGCAAAGCTAGATTTACACCACGCGCACACTGGAGTCAAGGTCAAGCAAAAAGGGATGGATGATGACGAAGAGGACTCGGAAAGAGAGCTGAGAGAGCGAGCTTTCCTGATACCGTTGGAACCTTTGCCTGGTGTAACGTTAAGAGATCCCCGATCTCAGCTTAGGCAGTTCAGCCACATAAAAATGGATGTTACCCTGATGAAACCAAACTTTGCTAAGCATATTGTATGGGCACCCGAAGACTTGCTCCCAATACCTTTGCCCAAGCCGGACCCCGTCTCTTCAATCAATTTACCTCTTCCTCCACTCATCGCTGACCAGAGACTTAATAAACTGCGGAATTTGAAAAACGATCCCCATCCAAATGCCATGCCAGCTGACCCGCGGCTAGCTGCGAAGGCAAAAAACAGCTTAACGGGCAGGAGCGGCTACTTGGATCCATCTGCGGATTCGCATGCCAGTAGCTCAAGCAAATTAGGAGATCCTCGCTTACAAAAAAACGTCGATCCCAGACTCCACAGACTGTCGAGCGCAGATACGCATCACGGAGTCGCGAAGGATTCGCACCCTCCGAAGTTTGACCCCCGCCTGGCCAGATCTGCTGCCGCCTCGTCGCAGCCCTCGGAAGCCGCGACTGCTAAACCTGACCCGGATGCTCTGCCTCCGTACGCACCCAAATTATCATCGAGTGGCGTTAGGCTGGGAACTCCGGGCTCGATACTGAGCGGGATTAGTTTGTATGATCCGAGAGATCACAGCTCGGCATTGGACACAGCTCCAGCTAGTTCAGGAGAGAACGGAGAGAACCAGAAAAAAAGTATTTTGAAAAACTCTGGTAAAAATGAACCGAGTCTCTCAGAAGATACATCGCTGCAGAAGGCTGCCTCGAACGTGGAAAAAAATACTGAAGGATCGGCAGAAGCTACTTCAGATAAAGCAAATAGCACCAGTAAATCTCAGGCTAAACACTCCAGCGCCGCACCGGCGGTGCATAATCTTCCTATCCAAGCTTTATCGGGATTAATCAGACCGCAGTACAGCGACCCGAGGCAGGTTAGGCAGCCTGGACAGGTAACTCAGACGCAGGAGAGCGATCCGAATGGGGAATCAGATGATAAGTCATTAAAAGATGTTTTCAAGACTTTCGATCCAACCGCTTCACCGTTTTGTTAGCAATTGATTTTAAGTCTTTTTACTGTTGTGAATATTGCAGTTTTCTGCTGTTTTGTAACTGGTTTACCTCTTTGCTTTATTTATTTTTAAATTATAATTATCAACACTTTTCAGCTGCTAATCTCAGAACCACATGCAGTTATACAGTATGCTATAGTGTTTGCAAAGCTGTGGTATTTTCTATATAATACTTTTCCAATTTCAGGGAGACTAATAATTGACATGTAGAAAACCCCCCATGTATCGTGTTAGAGCTGATAAAAGCACTTTCATTGTAAATAAGTCATTAAGAAAGTCTGAAGACCTGTATATGTGTGAGCTGTCTCTTTCATAAACAACATTTAGATATGATTGCCACATTTGTATGATTGTATAGATACAAGCAATATTATGTACATTACTGTGAGAGACACTGTTTGACAAGGATTGTCTGACGCATCAAGCCAAACCTACTAACTGATTTAAAACCTGCGTAAATGATTTAAGAGGAAAACGTTGATCCTCCTTTTCCGATCAGTTGATGTAAGACATTGACAGTTTTTATTCATGCAGTCAATATTCTTAGTGTAAAAGAGACCTATATCGCATATTGAGGATTAAAAATGTCATATCTTTTAAAAGTATTTTATTCTATGCTGTATATAGAAGAAATTGTGAAGTACCTAACTAGAAGAAAGTTACTGTTAAAAGTGGAGAATACCTAAGTTGTCTAATACAAAAAAGGGTTTTTATTTAATTTTTTCACGCATACACAATTCTGATTAGTGCTATAAGTTACATTGTGGTGTTCATGTATTTCAATGTATTTTTGTATTCAGCTGCTTAATTTGTATTGCTTTTTTTGTATTGATGTAACTGCAGTACTTGTATTCATGGTGTCTTTATGACATTTTTAACAAAAAAATTAAAAAGGGTACAGTTCAAGTCTGGTAATGACTGTGATGTTGACACGCTGGCAGCTAGTTCAGCCTTGGGGAAAGAGCAGGAGTAGGGGTGTCTGCAGGATGGAGGTGACTAAACCCGTTTTTGGTACGGTCGCTACGCCGCTTTGCAGTCAGATGGTAGCGGGTTTTCAAACTAGCCTTGTACCGAATCCAAACGGAGTTAGCTTGCTGCGCGCTTCCAAGCTCAGACCGCCGGTTTGGAGAGAGTCGTCATTTATCAGCATTGCTGTGAGAAATGTCGTGCATGTTCTTTAATTTCTGAAGATGTTGCATGCCGAGAGCACAACTGTCCTCAAAGCCTCTCTTGTTTTGCCTTTTGGGTTGCTTTTTATATAGAGGAAATGTAGTCATACCTAGCTAGCTGCGTTTACAATAAAAATTTGCCGTCTGCTCAATTGCCATCTGGTTCCCGCCCACTTGGAATGTTTCTTTGCATTAAGTCTCTTCCTTGGTGGACCTTTTCCTCTTTGTTTTTGTTTGTTGGCCTGAGTAATGCTTGCGACTGGGACAGTATAGTGTTTATTGCAAATTCTGTGGGTTTGGTTGCTTGCGCCTGTGAGACAAAGAGGCAAGAACACCCGCGTCTTGCATTGGTGAGTAGAGCTTGGGTGAACAGAGGGAAGCTCCCGATTTCTACGTGTGCAAAACCTGTCAGGGGAGATGTTGCTGAAGGCGATAATGGTTTCAGTTTGCCTAATTTCCCAGAGTGTAAATTGTATTAATTTTATGATATAACTCAAAATAATTGAAAACTAGGTAACAGGCATGAAACTCTGTTGTTATTTTGGAGTAATCTTAGTCCTACGTGATTACTTCTTGCTACTTCTTCATCTGATGATGAGTTTAGCTGTTCAAGAATTTCATCAAAAAAACCCCAAGCCAGCAGAACTGGACAGCAGGGAAAAATAGAAATAGTTTGGAAATAGCATGTGGGTTGATAGGGGAACAAAGAGGAAAAAGTTGCAGTACTGGAGCCAAATGCGTGGTTTCACATTTAGATGTGGAAAGTACTCGTAGGATGCGCAGCTCTAACCTCAAGTTACAACTTCTTGTGGGGTGGCACTGGTGTCATCACTGGATTCTCTGTGGTTTTTTTTCAAAGTACTGGGGGGGGAAAAAAAGAGTCAAAGGAGAAACTTTCATACCCAGAGCAAAATGAGATGCTTTACAACGGAGGATCGTGGTGGATTGCCATCGGTCCGGTTATGGACCCATTTTGGAGTTGCAGATCAAAATGAGGTGTGTTCAGGGAGGGGGACCCAGAGCGCTGGCTTCTAACCTTGGAAGAGGGGTACAAAGTAAGGAGGAAATGTAATTTGAAAGGGGCCAGCTAGTCCATGCAGCCTGTTGTCTCCATGTGTAACTGTCTCCTTCCTTCTTCCCAGCTACAGCGTGAAGCTCTGCGGGCTGCTGCTCGGCTCCTCCGTCCGCCTGCGCTTGCTGGTTTATTCGCTGCAGGTTTCTTCCCCGAGTCTACGCTTGCTCTGGCGTGCCCGCTGCTCCCGAAGCGTGGAGGAGATTCATTGCTCCGGCGCAAGTACTAAACCGTCTGATGCGGTGAAGGTGCTGGGGTGTCAGGGAGGGCAGGTGGGGACAGTCCTGCCACACTGAGGTGGGCGGGAATGGGCTGCAGCCACCAAGCAAGCCAAGTCTGATCTGCTGCGCGGGCTGATCGTGTCTTTTCGCAGGGGAGGCTCGTTTCCGTCTCTTCCACGCGTGCAGTACGCTGGCATGGAGCAGTGTTTTCCTCGGACGCTTGCAACGCGTGCCCCTGAGGCTGTGAGTTACGGGTGTGGAGAGCGATAACAGGAGCAGCCGGTGTCGTTGGTCCTGGATGCTCTGGAAGCCTGTAGCTGTGAGGTGGGTAATCATCAGCATTGAATGTTTTACTCTGGGTGAAAGAGAATCCTGGGGCTGAGAGGGATTTGGGGAGCAAAAGTCGCATTTCTCTGCAGGCTGCAGGGTCTGCTGAGTCGGGGCAGCAGGTGAGAGGAAATGCTTGCCACTTCTGCTAGCCCTGGAGATGTGAGACAGTAAAATGTTTGTCTCTGATCTTGTCTGCTCTCTTCAGAAAGACTGAGCATTGCTAGATCACCACCTGGTGTTTGCTTCCCCACAATAAAAATCCTCGTAGGGAGATTTCCAGTCTCCCTAGGTAGCTTGTTGTCCTGGTTTCGGCTGGGATAGAGTTAATTTTCT